ACTGGTGGCTAAGGCTGGGGGTTATTTTGGAAATACTAAATGACGTTAAACTAAGCTTGTTGAAATGTTATCTTTGGTAATAAAATATAAAAAGACAAATTGTCTGTAAGCTGTCTCCTTGTTTAGACCATGCTACAGTAGTAAATTGGATATTTTTGACTAAGATTATTTTGATTTGGCCACATTACCATATTACCAAAAGAGGGTCCTAAAGTAAAAAGAGGAAGAGCAGACCTTCCAGATTGTTTATTTAAAATCGAGACAGACTTGGGTGAAGGAGTGTGAAGTCGCCTAGAGCAAAATTACCGGACCCGGTTTTGCTGGCATTAGGGACTAATCATTCTGAATCCCTCTCTGTCTCGTGTAAAGGCAGTTCTAAGGAACGCTTTTACCACACCTTCCGGCAGCCATTTTGGAACCGCCGATCAGCTGTTCTCCCCCGCTTCGTTATGCGATATTCGCTAAGCGAATCGCTTAGCAAATATCACAAAGCGAAAAAACACCATAGGGGCCATCGCTGAGCGAATGCTCCAGCGATGGCCCAGAGCCCCTCGTTAAGCGATTTAATCGCTCAGCGGGGCGCTCGTTAAGCGAGGCACCACTGTATATGTATTGGTATGTCTCTGTGTGTGTAAGGTTATGGTTTATTAATTGGGTTATTAATACATTATTAATTTAATTTAAAAGACCACTTAAAATTTTATAAACAATTTTGGTACTACATTTTCTATTTACTTGGATCTTAAAATTAGCATAAAAGCAATATTTACTACACTGAGGTAGAGTGTTAGTTGTTATAATAAACTCTTTTTAGAAACAGTTCATTGGAGGATTTCTGTGTTTAAAAAGTACACACACAATTCAAGATGTCACAAACACTGTAAATCTCAGATATAAGATAAAGGACTTATTCAGAGATAATAAATAAGTAACAGTCTGACAGGGTTTCTTAGGTTAAGCAACTGCTTCTTTCACATCAATTGAAAGCCATCTTTTAAGGATATTGGCTAAATTGTTAAGATTTCATGATTAAACACAATACTTATTCATGCAAGAACATGTTTTATCAAACTGGGTATCTCCCAAATTTAATTAGCCCACGTGTATTTTATTCTCATGAGACTAGGGTTGCCAGACGTCCAGCAAAAGGAGGACATGTCGGACTTTTCAGGATCATGTCCTCCGTCCGGCAGGCAAAACTAAAAAACTTTAAAATGCCCAGTTTTTGTATTTCCACCCCACCCCTCCCCCACCCCCTGCAGCCGAACCTCTCCCTGTTACTTCCTTGGTTGCGGCACTTGTAAATCCTCCGGTTCTTTCAGAGATCGGATATAAGGTGCCTTGATTAGTTAGGGCTGTAGAACAGCCACAGGCAATCAATCCCTGGCTTGTGGATGGCTGCTTCAGCCCAGAGGTGAATAAGGCAGGAAGGTGCGAGAGAGATGGATGGATGGATGGAAACGGACAGGAGAGGTGTGGAGTGAAGTGAGTGCACCTGTTTGTCTGCCAGAGGGGAGGCCGGTCTGGGGTTTGGGGAGGTGGCGGTTCAGAGCCAGGGAAATAGGGGCCGGGCCAGTCCCTCCTTCCTCCTAAAGCCGGGGAAGAGGAAGCACTTTTATCCCCCCTTCTGCCCTGACCCCCCAACCCTGGGGCATGTGCAGAGTGCGTTTCCAGGTCCAGGAGCATATGTAGAGTTATCCCCATGCTTGTGGGAGCTGGAACACACACATACACACACAAGCGGATTTCTCTCAGCTTGAGAAATTGCAAAGGGTGGAGAAAATGGTTTTGCGTGTGTGTGTGTGTGTGTGTCTGCAAATTCATTTTCTCCACCCTTTGCATATCTCAAGCTGAGAGAAATCCACGGATTCTGTTTTTTTTCCTGGTTTTTATAAAGTGTTTCAAATCTGTTACACAACTTTCTAAACTTTTAATTTCACTTTATTTTGCTTTTATTAAAATAAAAAATCAATAAATAAAACAAGGGGGATGGGTCTCCATTAAAGGAAGGAAAAGACTGTCTCCATTGGTCCTGGGAGCCCAGTAAGTGTATATGTAAATTTGTTTTGTTTTGTTTTTAAGTTTTTAAACATTTTTAAAACAAGAAAACACAGTGGCCAGTGGATTCTGAGTTTTATAGTCCAAGAATGTAACTTTCCCAGTCCTGACCTTTCAAGACTGAGTAGGCTGAATGCTTATGGTATTGCCCCATGACCAAAGAGCTATTATCCCCAATACCTAATTCCAAAAGCGACATGCCCCCCCACCCCACACACAGAGGGGCCCCCCAATATGTCCTCCTTTGTCCTTTTTGGCTTTCTATGTCCTCCTTTTGGTACAGATGTATCTGGCAAGCCTACATGGGACCAAAGTTCCCTCTAAGGTGCGCATAGCCTTCCTCCTCCTCCACACACTGACAGTGATAGTTTTCAGCCCTTCTGGTCCCAGTTGTGACAGAACCCTGAGCGGGGGAGGGATTGCACACATGTAGGAGCAAAATTGTGCATGCATGGGACACAGTTGAAAATTAGAGGGAATGTTGCATCAGATTGAATATGAAAGTCATTTAAAAATCAAGTTAATTCAATTCAATTTATATTATTTTTAGGTAAAGGTTCCCCTTGACATTTAGTCCAGTCGTGTCTGACTCTAGGGTGCAGTGCTCATCCCCCTTTCCAAACTGTAGAGCCAGCGTTTGTCCCAAGACAGTTTCTGTGGTCGCATGGCCAGCACGACTAGACATGGAACGGCGTTACCCTCCCACCAAGGTGGGACCTATTTCTCTATTCACATTTTTACATGCTTTCGAACTGCTAGGTTGGCAGGTGCTGGGACAAGCGATGGGAGTGCACTCCGTCATGTGGATTCAATCTTATGACTGCAGGTCTTCTGACCTTGCAGCACAGAGGCTTCTGTGGTTTAACCCACAGTGCCACCACATCCTTTATTATTTTTAGCACGTCCAAAAAATGAGTTAGCATTTTCAGATAAAAGGCATTGCCCTGAGTAGCCACATGGCGCCATAGCAGGCCAGCACATTAATGCCTAGAAGTAATATTCTCTCAGCTCCTGCTTCCAAAGACGACTTCTACTTAAGGTAGACAAATGCTGACTTTCTGAACAGAGAGAAATAGAAAATTCAATGTACTTAAACACATTTCAGCTTAACACAAACCTTGGGATAAAGCTAATCCATATATTGGTTTCTCTTGGGGGGGTGGAGGGGGTAGATTTCAGCACAAATATGGAATGGCATGATGATTTCTATATTTTGACGTAAAAACTGTGGTCAAAATCCTGTTGCTTAGCATAGAACAGGCCCACTGAATCAAGAGTAATTCAGTCATTTCTTCCATATGTTCAACTGATTTGAGTGGGGTTATCCTAAGTGGAATTTATTATGCTAAGTTATTGTTGTTGTTATTTAGTCATTAAGTCGTGTCTGACTCTTCATGACCCCATGGACCAGAGCATGTCAGGCCCTCCTGTCTTCCACTGCCTCCCGGAGTTTGGTCAAATTCATGTTGGTAGCTTTGGTGACACTATCCAACCATCTCGTCCTCTGTCGTCCCCTTCTCCTCTTGCCTTCACACTTTCCCAACATCAGGGTCTTTTCCAGGGAGTCTTCTCTTCTCATCAGATGGCCTAAGTAAGATGCTGTTAAGAGTAGGCATTTTTGTATCAACTGAACTTTTGGAGGAGCTGACTCACTAAAACTCATTGATTCAGTGGGCCTACTCTAGTGTTACTTACTACAATAAGCAACAGGATTTTGTCCAGTGTACTCAATATTTACATCCTGAGTGTCTGTTATTTTGATTCATTAAATCTTAAAACAGGCAAATATCTGTAGTTTCATTCCAAGCATGCGGGGGGGGGGGATTGAGAGTACAGAGAGATTATTGCTTTCCACTTTTCTTTCTTTGTTGTATCTTTCTTTGATATTGGCAGTATGGCTTCAAAACGCCTCAACAGTCAGATTGTTTACAATGTTGAGGTTTATATACCATCATGGCCTAAAATATTGGCACCCTTGCAATTCTGTCAGAAAATGCAACCCTTCTGTAAGCCTATAATAGCAGTTTCATAATTTTTCCTGGAGGTGGTTCTGCCAGTAGGCAAAGCTGCCGCCACCTGTCTCAACTCATCATAGATACATATTCAAGTATCCTCTTAAAATAAAAACCTATTCTAATAAATTTTGGCATACATAGAGGACAAGGGAACAATGACAAACTATTTCTACCTAGTGACTACAATGACATTGTACCTATAGTTTTATATTTTGTTATGTTATCATAGAATCTGTGATATTCATGAAAACATTTTTCTGCATTCAAGCCTACAAAGGAGACATATAAAAACAGATTTATAGTTTTCTCCTTTCCAGAATTCACATTCATACCAGATGCAATGAGAATATTTCAATGGCTAAAGAACACATCATTGCATCATTACCAGTTTGTACCTACTTATCAAGTTAATTTATCAGTAAAATTAATTCATGATGCATGACATTGAAGTTCTTAAACCATCTATTTAAAATTTATGGAGGATGAAAAACAAATTATGTATGTATAATCTACATAATTTAGGTTTCAAATATAAGTGTAAGCAAATATAAAGAAAAATCTGTCTCAATTTTACAAAGTCAAAAGATTTTATTTAAAAATACTTACTTCTGGTTGAATGGCTTTAAATACAGGTATGTCCATCAGTGTTATCTGGCCCTTGAACAAAGCATATCAAGCAAAGTTTTAAAAGGTGTTATTTACAAGCAAGTTACCACCTAATACTACAAAAATGTACTCTCTTCACAAGATACATTGCCTGCCCATGTGTCTTCTCACCTATGAATATAGCACAAAATAGAGGATACAATTTATGAAAACCTGGTCCATACCTTTTACCAATGGCAGAGACTCAGATGCTGAGAATCCAAATGAGGAAAAAGTAATATACTTTCACACAGAACAAATATGCCCATGCTCCCAGAGAATCTTGGTTTATCATGAAGGATCTGCATGTTCATGTCTTCCCATTAGCTTAACCATTAAACTAATCAGAAACTGAAAACTGGACATAGAATCTGAGATTAGAATCCTTGTGTAAAAAAGCAAAGCAAAGTATGCTGCTTATATACCGCCCCATAGTGCTTCAAGCACTCTCTGGTCAGTTTACAAGTTAATTATGCAGGCTACACATTGCCCCACTCCCCAGCGAGCTGGGTACTCATTTTACCGACCTTGGAAGGATAGAAGGCTGAGTCAACCTTGAGCCGCTACGTGGGATTGAACCCCAGGTTGTGAGCACAGTTTTGGCTGCAGTACAGCAGTTTAACCACTGCGCCATGAGGCTCTCTCCTTTTACAAGCAAGAATTACAAGCCAGGTTTTGTTCTTAGTTCATGAGTCCTGCTTTATTTTGCTCCAGCTATCAGATGCTGGCAAGACAGAGAGGAGACATCTATCAGAGGAAAATGGAAACAATTCTTAATAGTTCTACTATTTTAAGAATTAATTTGATTAAAATCAGAGGTTTATGAGTTGAAGAAGTTAAAGTCAGTTTGTTAACAGTTAATAATTTTGGAGAAGGCATTATTTTTTTATTTCTGCTCACATTTATATAATTAAGCAATGGATCCATTGCAAGAGACAAAAGACAGACAATTCATAGATAGGGTCAAAGTAACTGATGTAACTCTACATACTTTAGATTTCCAAGTTGAGAAATACTGTTTATGCTTTAATGAAATTTACATTATCCCCACTGAGACTACAGTCTTAGACTGCTCAAGAATGAGGCTATCTTTGCTGAAGCAGAAATAGATCGCCTTTAAAAAATCTTGCTTCTACTGTAAAAGTAATCCTGAAGGTATTTTTAATAACAGGAACTGAATTTTCTTTGTCATCCAAATACAATGTGGAATCTAATGTTATTCAAACACAAATAAAGAGCTAAATGAACCAAACAAATCTCAGCTGAGAATGACATGAATCAGATTTTTTTTTCCTGGTAAAATGCATCCAACAGCTTGGTTTAGACATATGCAACAAGACTTTTCCATCCCTCCCTCCCTGCCCTGTGGAATCCCTTGTGCTCACTACGATGGTTCAGGGGCTCTCTAGTTGATGCAGGGCAAGATGGCGCCGGTGCCGCGCAGCTAGCATTTTCTCCGCCGCCCCGGTTCGCCTCTTGCTGCTTTTCCCCTTCTTTCTTTCTTTTTCCCCCTTTTCTTTTCTCTCGTCTTCCCTCCTCTCTCCTCCTTTTCCTTTTCCATTTCCCCCGTACCTGGATTGCTGGAGGAGAACCGAAGCGCTGCGTGGGGCTAGCCAGTGCCGAGCGGGACCTGGTAGCGAAGCCGCTGCGCGCTCAAAACGCGGAACCGCGGAGTCGCGGCTGGCTCTTTTTTGGGAGTCCGGGAGCTCGGAAGCTGGAAGCCCTGCTTGGTTTGCTTAGAGGAGGCTGGTGTGTGCCCGGGGCATCGGAGGGGCGGAAATCCACCCGGTGACTCAGCGGGTCTCAACTTGACTCTGGAGGAGACCATCGGAGACCGTTGGAGAAAGGACATAGAGGTTGGACGCTTGCACCCCCTGCCCCCTAGGACCCAGCCGTGTGGAGGAGTCCGCTGGAGGAAAGGACCTGGAGGTTGGTGATTAGCTTCCCTCCCCGCCGAAGCTAGCCCAGTCAGTATGTTTAAGATCGAAGTTTGCAGCAGAGGTTGCCGGTCTGCTTGTGAATGGCTGTGGCAAAGAACTTTTATTTTCCTGCAACTTAATGCAGGAAAATAAGTCTGGCAGAAAGCTTTATTTGAAACTCTTTCCTGACTTCTGACTTCTTCAAAGTTTTGTATTTTTAGTGGTTGTCCTAACATGTTCTTTCTGCATAGAAAGAGATTTTTTTTTCCTCCTCGAATCAATTTTATCAATGCAATAAAAGAGAAACATAATGGTTAGTACAATTTTGCACTCCAAATAATGTTAGACGAGTGGATGTATCTATTTCTATTTCTACTATAATAACATCCTCCTTCAAAAAATCAATATCCTTTCTTCGGAACAATGTAATGCAGGGGACGAGTTCTACATTAAGGCTTTGCTGTAGTCCAGAACCTCATATAGTTTTGTAACACATCCACACATGGAGCTCCTGGTGACCGAAAGCTTTTCCAATTGTGCTCAACAGACTGACACACACAATCCCTTGCATGTAGCAAACTCAGGTCCAGCTCTACCATTAGGGGAAATGATTTCCTCTAGTAATAGATGCTGAGAGGCAACAACAGGTTGTTGGACAGCTGCATACTACATGGCCAGCCCTTCAACCCCATATGGCAAGCTACCTTCAGGACATTGGAGGGGGCGGAAATCCACCCGGTGACTCAGCGGGTCTCAACTTGACTTTGGAGGAGACCATCGGAGACCGCTGGAGAAAGGACATAGAGGTTGGACGCTTGCACCCCCTCCCCCCTAGGACCCAGCCGTGTGGAGGAGTCCGCTGGAGGAAAGGTCCTGGAGGCTGGAGATTAGCTTCCCTCCCCCCAAAGCTAGCCCAGTCAGTATGTGTAAGATCGAAGTTTGCAGCGGAGGTTGGCGGTCTGTTTGTGAATGGCTGTGGCGAAGAACTTTTATTTTCCTGCAACTTAGTGCGTACGACTGTGGGGTGAAGCTTTGTGTGTGTGTGAGGGAGCGAGAACTGTTTGTCCTGGTCCCTGGCTGGCTGGTCGCCATGTTAGATCTCCAAGGGACGGGACCTTCCTTAAGACCGGTTTGCGCAGTCTCCTGCCTTTGGACTAATTACAGAGTTGCCTTGCCTCTTCCCTGGGGGTGGGAAAGGCCTCGGTCTGAACCATCTACACCCTGGATTCCGCCTCCCTTTATGCTGATGCTTAAGACCTTTGCAGCTTGCTCTACGAATAAAACCTGCCCTCCAGTACCTTTGTTACCAACACCATTAACATCTACTTTAACAACAGGAAAAATAACATCGGAACTTGTAATATCTGAAAGGATAAGGTTACGTGGAGGAGGAGGAGGAGGAGGAGGAGGAAAGACAAGGACTATATGTGGGATTTAAGCACATGGATTGTTAAATTATCTAATTTTATACACTAGGGTCTTATAATTTGGGATTGTTTTTCTTTTAATAATATTGTATTTGCAATTTTGCAATTTTGTGCTTAAGTTTGTGTGTTCTATTAATTTAGGGTTTTGTCTTTTTATTTTTTTTCTTTCTTTCTTTCTTTTTTTCTCTTTCTTTTTGCCTTTTTCCCTCTCTCTTTCCCTCTTTCCCTCTCCCCCATGGAGTGGAAGGCTTGTCCGCCTGGCGAGGGGCCCAGGAACATTCCGGTGATTACGGGTAGAGGGAGATATGGCGTTGGCACAGTCCCTACCCGTGTTAGAAGAACGGTGAACAGATGTTTGGCTGCTGTTCATTGTTCTGAGACTGTGACCAACCCTCAGTATCGAGGTGGCCAGCTCAGTCAGCCCTCCACTCTAAATCTGGTGCTGCTGAA